GAACTCCACCAGTGATATAAGGCTAATAGCAAAAGTATCTTGTTGAGATTGACCTACGAATCTCTTACTCCCACAATTTACACGAAATTTAGGTGAATTAAATATTTGTATATCATGACATAGGTTGAAACCTAATCACTGCCCATATTCAAAATGATAAACCTTTGCTATGTTCAGTTGGATAAAAATAGGCTGATTCACAGCTGGGGTATTAGAGTAAGCACGATATGGAAAGAGGCTCCATGGTCTCTCAGTTTAGGTATAGTCAGTAAATGACTATTTGTCATCAGTTGATTTAATGTTTGAGAAGTTATTGGGTCGACTATCTCCTGCTTTAATGTCATGTCAGTGCAATGACATATCGAACAGTACGTGCTTTACTCTTAACATTTTTAGAAACTCGGCAAGTCTTCTAAAATATTGTCGGTAAAACTTATATTTTTTCTAACATTTATTATTTTTTTTACGAAGGAAATTTTTTCAATCTCTAAAATTGTATTTCAGAAACGGACAATTTTTAATATATGAGATAACCTACTTATAAACGAATATTTAAAAAAAATTCTAAAACATACATTTTATTCCAAATATGATATGACAACTTTTTCAATGATATCCCTCAATAATATATTTTTAAGCATAATTTAGGAAGTTTTATCTATTTAGGTCATGACACTTGTCGCACTCCTTAGTTTATCTACTTATCTGGGCAAACTACATTAGTTTCTTTATGTCCGCTGTTTTAAGTGTGCATTTGCATATTGAATCACTTCTTAGTTTAGATGTCTTGCTTAATTCTATATGAAATTGACAGCCAGTTTTCATTATTAATGACCACTTAACCATTCTTTGATTTTATCTTATTATCTCTCCCTCTCTTGTTTGGATTCAGGAATGTCAGACATGGCCAGTGCTCTGCTGTATGTACAGCAGGATGAGGCCGCTGCCTATGTTTGCTTCTGCGCACTCATGTCACGACTTGGCGCCAGCTTTGTCGACCACGACCAACTCCGCCTAATCAGTCAAATGCAACACTTACATGACCTAGTTGTCTACATGGATCCGGGTCTGGCCAGCCATCTTCGCCGGAATAACCTGGCCAATATGTATTTTGCCCAGCGCTGGCTTTTACTCGAGATGAAGCGTGAGTTCCCACTTGACGAAGCTTTGCGTGTTCTTGAAGTACAATGGGCAGCTCTACCAAACTCGGCACTCCGAGGGACTACAATTGACCGTCCGTCGACAACTGCTGTTAGTAGTGGACAACTTCATCTTCCTATCAGCAACGGAAATACTGACAAGAGTAGTGGTGATGGTTGCACTTCTGACCCCTACGTGGGTCAAACTAATGGTCATTCCATTGTTGCCATTATGGCAAATTGTGGAGAGGGGATTGTTGGATGTGGCAATTCTATATCCAGCGGCTCCGGAGGTCACTTGTGTCTTGCTGAGCCTTCTGCGGTCAACCTTTTCACTGTGCCATTGAAAGAATCATCTGGATATGAGCCAAGGGTGCCGAAGCCCCCCTCTCGGGTACCTTGCTATGCAGTCAGAGACGTGGGTCTTATCGAATCTTTAATAGGCGAAGACGCGGCTAAACGAAGTCAAATGTCGAGGCCATCTGCAATTGAAATCAATAAAACTATGCTCCAACAAATGCCAGTAGGATTTCATATGTAAGACTTATTGCTTTTACATAGCTCTCGAGGCCTTTAATTAAGTATAGATCTAAGAAGAAAGGATACCTAATGTGGCAGGATTAGCACATTATTCTTGTAGTACTTTGTTTCAAATATAACTTGGGTGCTATATGAGTATTTTCTAATGGGAATAATGATCCACTTCAACATATCTGACGATTTATCTTAGGATGCTGCTTTGGCATATGCCGAATAGTGTTGTGAAGCTTTGAGCATATGTGTTTTATGTAATACCTTAAATATATCCTATTGTTGGTCACGAATCTTGAAGCGAATACATTAAATGACATATCATATTTCATGTGACGAGACATAATCAATTTATCATTTTCACAATCAATACTTAGTGGTGCGTTAAAAATCGGATTTATTTTAAGCGCGTATAGTCCTATACTAAACTTTGCTTTCTACGAGCAACCAAATCACACCAAAACAGAGAGGAGACTACGTCGCTAAGTGTTCCGAATTCCCATAGTTTTGATGGGAGAATTTGAGATTCGCCAGATTCCAGGTGATCATCAGACTAGATTGTCGTTCCTATTAGATATGAATTGTCATGTAGCTAAATTGTAATGTTACTAACAACATCTGATTTAGGAGATTGGCTAATTGAAAGTTTTTTTGCTATTTAATGCTTGCTTTACAAGTTCTTTTCGGATGTCATATATGATATACCATCCACATTTCTATTATGCCCTGGAGCCTAGTAAATCAAGGATTGACTCTTTTATTTTTGAAATCGGAAGACACCGAGTGGAGTGCTACTAGGCTTACGGCGAGAGTTAAGTGAAGCATATATGTGACAACATTAGGAATATAATTTTTTTAATGAAATCGCTATTAGAATCATCTTTCTGAATTTTGTATACAGAAGAGTAACAACGAAACTTGTGGATTTCCTTTAAAATCATCAGGATCGATTTGTTTGACTCTTCTATTCGAACTAGTGACCATAACTATTCGCCAATTGTTATCATTATACATCGATTTCTACCTCACCATATGTTTATTTCTACGAGATGTATTTATCCTATTTAGTTTAAGGTGAGGAAGGACAGGTAGTTGAATTTTCCTACAATGATATGAGTAGTGCTGATGTTTTTATTGAATTTCACATAGCCTTGCTTTTCTAAAAGTTGTTATCATCCAGAGTGGACTGCAGTTTCGACCTAGCATAGGTCTTATCAACACTCCCAGCGGGAGTCGAATCGTGCAGAATGTGAGCTTGACACGTTAACCACTCTGCCACATTGCTACGAGTGCTCTAGGTTCTCAGGGCAGATGTGAATTTTAAGGAAGGTCAGGCTTTTCTCCATATCACATCCTTTGGTGGGATTGCCGATGAAGCAAACCTATTTTTGCCATAATAATCGATTACATTACTTATTTTTCGTATAAGTAGAGTTTCGAGTTATAACTGATTTACTGGTAGTCTATCATATCATTGTGGGAAGATTCTACTACCAGTCCTTCATCACCCTAAATGAAATAGGGTGAATATATCTCGTATAATTGAGTTACTGGTAGTCTCGAAACTACTTATACGAAAAATATGTTTATTTCCTTGCCATCACTTATAGAAAATATTTCGCTAAT